TTAGGCGTGAGCAGTATTTGCCTTATTTACCTTGGCTTTTTCGCCACACTGTCGTGTGCAGAGTGGCTCCCAACAGCCGATCGGGCGGATTACACAACTTATCTATCCAACGTACCGTGTGGGCGTGCGGGACGCAAGTGAAGTACATGAAAATTTCCTAAACCGACGATACGGCTGTTGCCCCTACGTGTTAGGAATCTTGGAGTAAAATTACTTTCTTGAGCCCCCATGGTAACTCGTAGTTCAGCCTCTTTCCCCGCATTTTATCACTCCATTCTTAGTGTCGAATAATGTCCTTGTTGCTTCAAGCAAACAAACTTAGCTTTTTCCGGATGATTTATGCCTCATTGTTGATGCGACAGCAGTCTAATCTGGAAGGTAGTAGGTGCGCAGGTCTTCTGAAATTCTCTTGTAACAGGGTTCTTGAAACGCTGTTTAATCGGAGTGAGCTCAACAGTATAGGATCACATGATTTAATCCACCAGATTGATAAATCAATAAAATCGGTCCCTGATTCTCATGGATCGGAATCATGTTATGGATCATGTCCGCTACTGGCGCAAACCAGGACAGTGGTGTGGTTAGTGGAACCTGACTCTTCACTTATAGATGAAATGGCTGTTTTGAGCCTCATATACGCGACTGAATACGATATTGACACATCTGACGTAACACATCTGTAATAATATCCACTTATGTACATGGAATAAACAACTTGATGCATCATTGAGATGCATATTGCGATTGACTGTTCTCGCTTAGGATTAATGGCAGCACATTCAATAGAAAAACGAACGACTATGTAGTCACGTTACTTTTCCATGATTTTTGCAAAGGTTTGCATCGAAAGGTTTCTTGTTTTTCGTTTTGTCAACAAGTTTCAGATTGTTGGTCATGTTAAATCCTATTGATCATTCTTTTGGATTTTAATGACTGAAAAAATAATAATAAATAATAATGGTCACGCTCTTTGTGAAGAAGCCCTCGAAAGTCTCATTATGGTCGGGGATGGGCGTGTTAGGTTATTACAAGTCACCCTTAACATGCATCCCAATAAATGCTTCCATAAGACGAAGGGCCTCAAACAGCTTCTGCTGAGGAAGCCCTTCCTGTTGTCTTCACATAGAGACTTTTGCTCACCAGAGTGAGGGGAAGAAAAGTTGTCGTCGGAGGCTATAGCTGTCTCTATCAACCATTGGCAGTCATATATGACTCGATGATTTGTAAGTGGGTTAGATGATATTAACCTCAACAGATGCAACATAAGCGGCTTTATGGAATATTTTACAATAAGCAGTAAATGAATGCTTGGACACCCAACTACAAATCATTGAATCATATTATTGATATAAGTATATATATGTGCAAAAATAGAAGATGGTTGTGCATAGTTGATGCAGCTCCACGGGAAACATGAAATGGTTGTAGGTATTGCAAACCAGTCACAAGAGGGTCAAAGTTGCTTTTCATCACTCTCTGTGAGCCACTGCTCAAAATTTTACTATTTGAATTTAGTAATAGCTCTGTCATTATTGCATAACTTCATAGGAAACGCGCCAGTCTTCTCTCACCGAACAGTATGTACAGAATAAAAAGAAATGCGTTCGTGAATAAAGGGAAGCTTGGAGTAAAGGATGCAGGATTCTGCATTTTGGAGTACCCCGATTAACATAAGTTGAAAAGGGCCAGTAGTGTTATGCAAGATATCTGCTGCTGCAACAGTTCTTTCGCATATCATCAGTTACTTCATGCGAATTACAAATGGATATTATGTATGTTTATGGGATATGGTGACAAATAGATTCAAGGCGAGATTCATACAACTTGTTCACAAGACACTGTAACTAGTTTACCAACACTTTTCTCCTAATCTGAATACAGATGGGTGAAAATTGTTCGCTAATGCGTGAGGATGACGTGTTAATGTGTTTGTGTGTGGACAAGTTGTATGAATCTCGCCTTTGAATCTATTTGTCAGCATACCTCATAAAACATAAATAATATCCATTTGTAATTCGCATGAAGTAGCTGATGAAATGCGAAAGGAATGTCGCTGCAGCAGACAGCTTGCAGAACTACTGGTCTTTCTCAAATTTATTCGAGGAAATCATTGTTTCATATAATGTAATATAACACAAAACTTCAGTCTGCCGGATATCACTTTGAATAATATATGATACCTATCAATCTCTAGGTTATAATTTATGTCTTGACGCACGAAGCCTAACGGAATCAGATTCAACCGATACCATGACTGAAAAGTAAACTCACCTTGATTTGCTTTACGCTTGGTTTTACTTTCTGACCGCTTTCTGCAAGTAGATTGATGCCTTGCTGTGTACTCTGAACTTTATTTATTTGACTACTCAGTTGCGCTTGAACTGCATTCATCCACGATGGATTAGGCCTGCGAAATATATTCTGGACTATCCATAGCGGTCGATTTTGAGTTAGCTGACGGACTTCTGTCTTGTACACGGGAATGCGGTGCAGCACATACTTCCCGACTGCGGAAAACCACGGTGATATAGCGGCCAAAGGGGACTGCGAAGTCAATGTTTGCTGATGACTGTTATCCACAGGTCCATTCAACAAACTGGATGACATTTGTACCAAATGAGCAGTATTGATTGGTTGAAAATAAAATGTGTTTCTCTGATTAGTGGTGCTGAATTGGTCTTTAGTTGAGGATCCACTCATTTGGACGTGCACAAGGTGGATTGGTTGACCGAGGCTATTCGTGCCCGCGTGGTCTGAGTGGACGTTTTCAGGTTGTTGATTCCATGAAGACACTGAACCAAATGAATCGCCTGACACTTTGTTAAGTACAGGATTTGACGATGTACAACTTGAGGTAACTGGAGCATAGGTATGTGTATCAAGAAGAGATAAAGTAGGCCGTGAGCTGAATATCGGCATCCTAGAGGAAATAAACTACTTTATAGGAGGAAAACGCAGTGCACGCTTCCATTAGTTGCTCCATTTTTGTGTTCACAATTACATCGGAGTTTATTTCATGGTTTCTATTATGTTTCGTGTCCTTTATATTTCAGAGTATGATTCCTAGAAAGTAGAGATGATGATTCCTATTTCGCCTTATTTAATCCTCTTGAATTTATTCGATCTGGAACAAGAACCACCTGCGCTCTTTCAAAAACCTATAAACACAAACACGCACACCACCATGAACATGATTATTCCCTCAGTTCCCATATTCACTCTTCGAGTTGGAGTTTCGGAACAATAATAGTAACGTGTAAGATTTGTAATAATCCAATGTACAATGCCTATTTTGAATTAAATTTCTGTTTTCTAAACTTCGTGGAAAGGTAACATGTGATCAGACTAATGAGATCTATGAAAAAAACATTCAGCCTCTAATTACGGAAATGCTGATAGGTAAGAGTGTATTTTGGTTGTACACTTAAATAAGGAAACAGTCCCAGAGGTATAGTTATATTCTTTCTTTTCTTTTCATTTTACTTCCTTTAATGAATGCACAATGATACAATTTTCAGGAACGGAAAAGCGGCCAATCAAAGGGCTTCCATTTAAAACATAATGGAGGAAGTGAGGCGGTGGTAGTGGGATTCGAACACATTCCTGGGATGATAATTTGGTGACGTTACTACCGGGCCCACCATCACCGCCCCATGCATGTGATGTTAACAAGCTATGTGAACGCGCTATGCAATTAGATGTTCCGTAATCTTTTCTACACAGATTGAAACTAGTTCAGTGATCAAAGAAGTAGTTCCAATGTCTACAACTCTATCCATCTCCGGTTAAAGCTGAAATGTTTTGATTATCTTTCATTCTTTCGGTTTTGGATATAATACCTCAGCATAATTCCAATAGTAATGTACAATATCTCTCGGTCCGTATTGAAAGAAAAGCTACGACCGTACAACAACAATGTCGGGGACTGTTTTTTTGGTAGTGGGAAATAAATCTAGTTATTGATTTTACACGCCTATTGGCTATTACTCTTAAACCCCCTGAAGCGAATGGAAACATGTAACTGCTACCGATTGGTTTATCCTCGTGTTCCTTCAAACCGAGTTATTTGGACAACAGTTCATTGAAATTCGTTTCTTTCATTTAATCATGCTTTAAACCAGAAGACTTTTGAATCATGAAGATCGCTGAGGTGCTTGGGGTGGTGTGGGTTTTCATTCCCAACTGGAACATTCGTGGTTCGTATCCGACCAGAAACACAAGCATAAAACGCATTGCGTAGGAGTCCCAAAACTAACAAAACAGTTGTCGGTTACTTTGTTTTACAAATCAAACCCAAAATTTCATTGCAAATTTCCATTCAAAAAAGATGTGAATAGTTTTAGTTTTCACTGAATGATGCAAAGCGAGATTCAAGGTGATGCAAATCTACACCTAAGGAAAATCGCTTTATATACTTCTAATAATTATTCTTCCACTGGTTCTAAATTTTCATTGACATCTATTGAAAACATTCCATCACTCTCACACACACCAAAACCCTATAATCGAACTGACTTTCCTGAACAATAGAAGTGAGTTAAAACCAGTAAAACGGTAGACGGCGTTTTCGTCAGATAACTAGTACTTGGTCAACAGCGATAAGAGGGAAAGCGTAGTTCAATAGTATACCAACAACCGAAGACTACCATTTTGCTCCATGTGACTGAAGCAGGTATTCTCCAACAGCCCCTGAGCGGAAGTGTGCGGTAAAATCATCCAGTACAAGGTGTTTGATTTCAAATGTCTTTCAATTATTTGAAAAATATGTGCTTTAATAACTCATAAATTCCAATTATAAATTTCAGTTGTGATACTTTTGAGATTGTCTGTCGTATGGGGTGGACGTGGGAGCGGGGTACCTGGGGCTTCCTCTCGACGGTGGGAGAAGTCTTCGCACTTCATTGAACAGCTCAAGCTGGGCAGCCCTCAGCCTATCCCGTCCACGTTCCGCTTGTCTAATTGGGTGCATGAGGCTAAGGGCTGATCCCGAAAGGCGGACCGATAATCAGCGCACCAGCGAACAACACAGCTAATCGAAATTCAGAGGCCTTGAGTGAGAGGTCTCCAGAAGCTCCCACACGGGTGCTTCGTTCACGCTCCCGTGTTGGATTTGCGCCCCTCTGCCTTGTGCTTTAGACTTTTGAGTCAAAGGCTCCGGTTAGGTTCCCAAAAAAACCCTTCGTCGGTGTGGGCTACCGTGAAGTATGTCGTGATCTTAGGCACCCATTTGGAAAACCCTCCATCCCGTCTGTCTAGTTCTTCCTCTCAAAATCGAATAATCCCAAACGCCTGCTATTTAGAAGATCCATCGAGTATCACTCACCCCTTTTCCAACAAGTCCAAACAAATAGAAGTTACAGGATTTTTGAAGCCAAAATTCCGTTTTCACTTAGCCACATTCAATGTCCGCACACTCTGTTAGATCGGTCAACAGGCTGCCTTAGCTAGAACCTTTGAAATTTTCAATTTAGATGTATGTTGTGTCTCCGAAACACGCATACAAGACCCCACATCCTTTATCTCCCTGCGTTCTCCTGATCCAATCTCAACCTCGCGCTTCACCCTTCGTGTGTCAGGCGATTTGGCATCCGAAGCTGGAGGTGTTTCTGGTGTTGGGATTGTGCTGAGTTCTAAGGCTGAGCGCTCGCTTCTCGACTGGATTCCAGTCAGTAGCCGACTGTGCGCCGTACATATCAACGGTTCAGCGCGGGTAAACAGCTACAGAACAATGCGTCAATGTCTGTTCGTCGTGTGGTTGTATGCACCGACCGATTGCAGTACACCTGAAACGAAGGATTAATTCTTCAAAGACCTTTCTTGATTACTACAAAGCGTTCGATCAACGGACATCGTGGTAATCGCTGGAGAGTTCAATGCTCTAGTGGGATCCCTGGACGAATCAGAGAAGCTTTTTGGGGGACTACATGCGATCCCAGCCAACTGGACGGACAACGGCGATTGCCTACATCAACTCTGTGCCGACCACGGACTGTTCCTGTCAAGCACGAACTTCTCGCACAAGAAACGATACCGCCTTACATGGAAACCGCCAACCTCTTCATTGCGGTGGACCCAAATCGACCACATCGCCATCAGTTACCGCTGGAGGAGAGAGATTCAAGACTACCGCTCCTACTGGTGAACACCTGTGGATAGGGACCACACTCTGCTGCGAGCCAAATTCTCCTTACCCCTTGCAAACAACCGCAATGGAAGAAAAACGACCAGTATCAACTTTTTTTTTATAAGTAGCCGGGGAAGCTTAGTTATGACATCTTATAATAGAAAAAAAATAACATTTATTAAAAAGTCGCAGGTGAGATGATATGTCCTTGAGAGGTAAAAAGAGGGAGGGGGTGTGCATGCTTCACGTCCGGCGAAAAGTGTAGAGATAGAGAAGGCTGCGGCTATTAGTACTAGTCGCAATCGTTTCCGTCTAATTAGGAATACGGACCCCAGGAAAATAGGCGTAAGTGAGGTAATTAAGGAATCCGATGGCACACTGATTCACGATAAGCGAAGCCGTCTTGATCGTTGGGCTGAACATTTCGACGCTCAGTTCAACTGGCCCCCATCGACATCTGAACTGTCGCTCTCCACTGCGACTGCGCAAATTCTGCTGGTCGATGCCAGTCCTCTATCGCAAATGAAGGTTTCCTGGGAAATAAGCTATTTGAAAAGGAATAAGACTTCCGGCCCCGACGGGCTGTCCCCATCCGTTTTTAAGGATGGAGGTCCAGCCTTGATTTTGGAGTTAACAAAACTCCTGGGTTCAGTGTGAGAGAGAGAGAACAGGTTCCAACTGAATGGTGTAAATCAGTAATCATACCGATCTATACGAATGGCCACAGGTCCTCTTGTGAAAACCACAGAGGAATTAGTTTGACCAACATCATCTCTAAACTTCTCGCCGGCATCATACTCCGACGGTTGTTTGCCACACGTGAACGGTGTACGCATGAGAACCGGGCTGGTTTCAGACCTGGTCGATGCTGCATTGACCACATCTTCACACTTCGTCAAATTCTAGAACATAGACACTGCTTTCGTAGATCCACCATTTCTATCTTCTTCGATCTAAAAGCGGCTTTTGACTCAGTCGACCGCTCTAAACTCTGGCGCTGCCTTTCCCTGAAGGGAGTGCCCGAGAAGTTTATTTCGATATTACAATCCCTCTATAATAATAGCCGAAGCCGAGTTCGAGCTTACGGCACTTTTTCACCCGAGTTCACCACAGAAAGTGGTGTTAGACAGGGTTGTCCTCTCTCTCCTTTTCTATTTAACTTCGTGATAGATTCAATTCTTGAAACAGCCCTATCCTCGTGCGAGGATAGCGGTATCGATTTACTTCCGGGTGGGAGACTATCTGATCTAGAGTATGCAGACGACATTGTGCTACTAAGTGAAGATCCAGGTAAGTTGCATGCTTTTCTGTATAATTTGAGTATTATTGTAACAATGTTCGGTATGCCTTTTGCACGTTCAAAGTGTAAAATGCTACTGCAAGACTGGGTTGGTCCAGTACCCAGCCTCATTCTGACTGAGGAAGTAATAAAGCAAGTGGATACCTTGTTACCTGGGCAACTACATCTCACCCGATGAACGCACCACGGATGAAGTGTCAGCTAGCATACGGAAGGCTCGGTTGGCATTTGCCAACTTGAGACATCTGTGGCGTCGCCGCGACATCCGGTTGTCTG